AAAAAGATCAAATGGAATTTATTTATTTATTAGGGTTGGTTATGCACAATATGTTACAGTCCATATTCAATTACTACGGAAATAGTGACTTTGGTAAAGTAATTATAAAGATAGCAAAAAAGTAGAAAACGTGTAAGTACATTACTACCATTATCATAATCAATATCTAGATGAATAATTAATAATGCAATGGTAAAAAAGAATGAATAATGAATGGGTTTATTTCTTAATATAAATTATTATAGAGTATAGAGATGACTAGGTGAGTGAAAATAAGCGAGGCATTGAGTTATGAGATTTGATTTGGGTGATGAATGCAGTTTCCTGTTTATATATTTTGGTTATTGGAAATGGAAATGGTTAAAGACCAAAGTCTCTGTGCCTACCATTTCAAGCTGTGGGGCAGCATTGGGCCTTGGTTTTTATTTGAATCAAGTTGTATTAATTAATATTATGTATGAATATTTGTATTCTGAAAACATTACAATATATTATTATATATATATATATTAAAGCCTTTGTTTGTTTATGGTAAGCTTAGCATGGGCTGTCACTCCAAGTCGGCCATTAGATTACAATAATGGGAATGTGGGATGATGACATAAGTGTGTGCCATTTGCAACATAAAGACAATCTGCTAGAGATGTGGCTTGCATCTCAAGTATCCACATCCCCACCTTTTTTTTCTTTGTTTAGAATGACAAAGGCGAGAAATGGTGATATCTTGAAAAAAAATGGAAGACTATATGTCATTTATTGTTGAACTAGATTCAGATAGGTTGGTAAGTTTAAATTTCTACATTTCTACTCTCCTCCTGTTTTGTTTATTAGAGCTAAGTATTTTAATATTGATGTTATCTTTTATTTAGTACAACAATGGTAAATAGCATAAATGTGAATCAATTTCTTTTAATACAGTACGTGGAATTGCATATTTAAACCCATAATGTTTTGGTCGAAAATATATTTTTTAATCTTTGAACAATGCTTGAGTGGGAAACAAATCAGTGCAGTGTCCTCTTTTCTAGGTTGTAAATATGAGTATTTTTTTTCCATTTATTATGCAATATGTTTTTTGTTAAGACGAAAAAAAAAGATTGATACCATTTGTTAAAATAATAGATTTGAGGTTAAAGTACTAGTTTGGTCACTGTATTTTCAGTTTTGGTTCATTTTAGTCATTGTTTTTTTAAAAATATTCACTTTATGCTTGTACTTTCAACTTTGATTCATATTAGTCCCTGTACTTTTAAAATGTTTATTTTGGTTTATGTACTTTAAAAGTGATTATTTTGATCCATTAATTCTATTTTTAATCTCATTTTTTTCAATCACAATCTCAACACGATACTACAATCAATATATTTCTTAAAATGTAAACATTACCTTATACTCAAGAGTTCACGTTATGAGTAAAATTTGTGTTAAAATTTTGCAAATAGGGACTAAAATGATCCATTTTTAAAATTACAAGGACAAAAATGAACAAGTACCAGAACTAAAATGAATCAGTTAAGTATATATCACCAACATCAATTAAGTATATATCTCAGGATTTACTACTTGTTTTGAAGTTAGGATTCAAATCTTCCCCTATATTCATTGTCAAAACAATAAAAAAAGATAATGAATTTTGTATTATCTTAGTTAGGTCTAAATCCACATACATTCATGTTTGACTCATCTAAACGATATATGTGTTTGTTTTAACTTCTAGTGTGATATTGTATCTTTACTTTTGGGAATCTAATATCTTATTGCTCTAAAACATGAAAAAAAATAATAATAATAAATTGAAAATAAGAAGAATAGCATAGATGTTAATTACGGAACATAAGAAAAATACACATATTTTTTAGGATGATTCAAACTTGAAATAGAGTGGACAGCATTTACGGCTTCGGCCTCCATGGAGATGGGCTTATGGGCTCCGCCGCGTGCAACCAAAGCCGATAACTGTACGGAATTTTGAACAAAACAGACCTTATTTTCCGCCCTATGTTTTTTTTTTTTTTTTTCATTTACTACTTTGAATTTGGCCACACAAAAATTGCCCATGTTGAAGTGGGTTAATTTTAAATATTTTTTTACCTCCCCATTAACCTGAAATTGTAAAGGGATTAATTTACTGGGGGTAATTTGCGTTAATTGAATTGAAATATGGGATATTGTACTTGTGAGGGCAGAGGCAGCAGTAGCAGGAAATTTTGGCAAGCTTAGAAGCGACCAATGCGAAGAATCCTCATAATGGCGTTGCCACTCAATGCGCTGCCCAACTCAGCGCCATCCTCGGATATTCATTTTGACCCACATCTCTTCCTCTTCCTCACACGCTTTCATTTTCTTTACCATCATTCCAATTTACAATTCCTTTTTTTCTTTTTACAACCTAGTAAATAATGATATATATGTCTTCAATTTGTTTCGAATATAAGTCTCTTCGTATTTCTACGATAGTATGATATTGTTGATCACTTTGTACTTTAATTATATATAGAGTAAGTTTGAAATGAGTATTTTGATGGTGAAGTTTCTCTCAATCCAAAGATTGACAGGATATCATCTCTTCTCAAATAGCTTGGACTTTAGTTTGATGATAGTATTATCACGGATCGGACGGTAAAAAAGAATGGGAGTCGATCCATTATTAGGCTTATCGACAAAGCACAAAAATCAAGCACGAGAGCTGACCGATATGGACAGTCAAAACCTGGTCAGTCAGGACTCGGTAAATCTGGTTGGGCCCTAAACTTGGTTATGCCCTAGACCTAATCATGCCTTGTACCTGATTGGGTCGTGGACCTGTAATATTGTTCGCTTGTCGGGTCTAGCTTTATTTACCATAACAAAAATCACTTTTTTATCTTTGGAAAGGTTAATCTTTTAACTCATTCTTAAAAAGATTTTATACCAATGAAAATGAGATATCCTTGTTACTTGAGATTTTGTCTACTTTTACGAGAAGTTTGTAATTTGAGAAATCATTAGCTCTATTTCTCTCTCTAGGGTTTAGGAGACAGTAATTTTTTAAGTGGGCATTGGGAAGCAAAGGGGCATTATTGTAC